ACTCCATGTTAGACTACGTGAAACGTAGCTTAAAATAAATGACGTCTACAATCTCGATTTTGAAATTTTTCATCCACTGATTTTACACAAAGTTGAGAAACAATTTGATCAATCTGTTTGTAAATCCAACAAATTTATTTTGGATGACAATCTGGGCACCGTGCAAGATGAAATGTGTGTCATGCTATGCAGATGATGTAGATGCTATGATAACTATATCTATTCGGTGATTCATGGTCAAAATTGGGGTATGACAATAATCATGCCTAAGGAGACATTAAGTCTCTCAAGCGAGGTAATGCATAACCCAACTAACTAATAAGATATTGAGTCCCTCAGACGAGGCATTTGGCCTTTCAGGAGGGACTTCCATTGAGCTCTTTAGCAAGATTGGAAATCAGGTTGCGCCTCTTAGGCATATTATATTGGAAATATTCTCGTCCGAGGAGAGACTAAGTCCATCAGGCGACGTAATGCATAACCAGAATGATGAGACACTAAGTCCCTCAAACGAGGCGTTTATCCTTTCAAACAGGACTTCAATCGAGCCCTCTAGCAAGACTGGAAATAAGGTATTTAGGGCTTGTCATGGGTCGTGCCTCTAAGGTGTGATATATTTACTACTACAAAATACACCTTCAGTAACATAATACTACTACGATTATGCCTTCCACTATTGTAATATCGCAAACTGGAAGCGCCTAATGCTTAATTATTTTTTTGAAAATTATTTAATCATGGTTGATATAAACAATTGTGGTGATAAAGTGAGTGGTACAAGGTTCAAATCCTGACAACTATATTTTTCCATTTTTCCTATTACAAAAAACGTGTGTCACTTAATTTCATAAATAAATAAAAAATGAAATGATTTAATCACGGTTTTAATATTCAACTGTTGTAATATGATTTGTACAACATTTTCTCTTCCTAAAAGAAAGAAACGCTCTTTCCAAAAGAGAGAAACAACTATAATGATGATTGGAATTTTTCTTCATTTCTCAAGACGGTCACAAGTCATTCAAGAATATCAACCATTAAAAGTAATCATTGCAAGGATTAAATCATCAGATGTTTTATCTTCAACCTCTTCTATAAATGCACAATTTCATATAATGAATTTCGACTTCTTCAAACTACTCTTCTTAACTTCCTATAACAACACGAGTTCTCCATCTGAGAATGCTAACAGAAATATGTCAACTAAAGTCACCATAGTCCAACAACATAAGCAATCAGCTGAGAAGGTCCAGCCATCTGGATCGACTGCTGTCAGGGATACACTGAGAGTGAGGAAGGTCAAGAAGAAGAAGAAGAAGAATAAGCTGAAGAAGAAGAAAAAGGTGTCAAGGAATATTTTTTCTATGATTCTGATGAGGATAGTGAGGAGAGAGTCATAGATTATGAAGATTTCTTTAGTGCTAGGGGATATTGTTCTGATCTTGACAAAATTATGTAATAAAAAAATTATGTTGTATATACTCTTCCCTTTTGGGCCTCTTAATTAACTTATTCATTAGTGTTGTTTTATATACTTTTGCCTTTATATACTCGTTCCTCTTTACTAAAAAAATAGTACAAGCCAACAGAAATAACAACAACAATAACAACAGTAATGAAGAATAACAATAAAAATAATTAATAACTCTCTCACCATTGCGTTTATAAATAAATAAATAATTAAAAGTTATTTAACCACGATTTTCTAATACAACCGTTGTAAAATTGGAAAGTTACATCACGATTTTTCTTTCTAATCGTAATGAAAAGTGATATTTTTAGTATATAAGCAAAAAGTATCTATCGTTTAGTACATAACAACCATTTAATATATTTCACTCTTCTCTCTCATAACATAACCCTAACATCCATGTCACTCTTTAAACATACTTCAACCTTCAGATTCGTCTTCACCAACCACTAACTTGAGGTTCGTTCATTAAACTTATGATTCAATTTTGTTTACATTTCTTATTAAAAATGGATTATCATTTTTTCATTTGGTGAATGTTCTCATTTTTTCAGATTCATCTTCACCACCTTAACAAAGTGCATACTTTGGCTATGATACATATGGTTTGTGTAGCTATGAAGAAAAATACAAGAAATATGAAGCTATTGTGTAAACTTCATTCACCTTATACTTCTTCTTCATAGCTTCATAAACTAGATGAACTTCATAATTTGTTCCAGATCCACAATTAGTTAAAAATGTGTGTTCTTGAAACATTACATAATATTGTGTGTTGTTATATGTTGTTGTTGATTAATATTCTCAGAACTTCAGAATTTGTTGTTGTTTTTTTATTATTATATCTTGCATTCTTGAACCTTATTTTATAATATTGTTGTAGGTTGTTGTTGTTGATTAATGTTTTCAGAACAAGAACAAAACATTGTTAAGTCACAAGAAAGAAGCTTCTTATGACTTAGAAATGTTTTGTTCTTGTTTTGAAAACATTGATAAATGTTTTGTTCTTATTGATAAATATTGTTGTATGTTTTTGTTGTTGATTAATGTTTCCAGAGCAAGAACAAAACATTGCTAAGTCACAAGAAAGAAGCTTCTTGTGACTTAGCAATGTTTTGTTATTTAAATTCTTATATGCTATGTAGATGAAGTTGAGTTTATTATATGCTATGTAGATTGTTTATTTCACTAACCCTTCACTGATAATACATTTCACTTAAATTAACATAGAAACTTATTATCTGAAAATTAAGTTGTATTTGAAAACCAACTTATATCAATCAACGTTTTCCAAATTGCATCCATCTCATATTTTTCAACATTTAGAATATGATTCAATGACCTAATGTCTTCATTACATCCATATCTTCTCTTATAGTTTAATTTGAATAATAATAATTTATTGATATTATTCAAATTAAACTAGCATAGAAGGAATTGATGTCATAAAAGACTTAGACCATTGAACCATATTCTATATGTTAAAGAGCTGGAAATGAATGATGAAACACATGCAATTTGGAAAATAGTGGTTTGTGTAAGTTGGTTTTCAGGAATAGTTTAATTTTCAGATTATATAGTTCTTCATCCATTTGAATGGTTGTATGTTGTTGTGAGGTTTATTGAAAAACAAGCAATCTACATATTTTATAATAAATATGGGTACTTTCAACAACGATTATTTATTTTTAACCGTGATTAAATCTTATTTTCATAAATGTATATACCACAACAGTTGATACTAATAACCATTATGGTAGGTTGCGTGCGTCCTGCCTTACTATCACGGTCTCGCGACCGTGGAGGAAAGCACCAGACATACAATCACCCCTTACTTGACAACGGATGGTCACATGTTGTAGTATCCCTTTTCCAACCGTTGTCGTATGGTTTTTCCGTAGTAGTGATTGTGAATAATCCTGCCCGAGAAGACATTAAGTCCCTCAGAAGAGGTAATGCATAGTCTAGCTGATGAGACACTGAGTCTGTCAGTCGAGGCGTTTGGCCTTTCAGGAGGGACTTCCATTAAGCCCTCTAGCAAAACTAGGAATAAGGTCTATGGGCCTTGACATAGGTCGCGCCTCTTAGGCATGATATGTTAGAAATAATCTTATCCGTGGAGACACTAAGTTCCTCAGGCGAGGTAGTACATAACCCACCTAATGAGACACTGGGTCATTCAGTTGAGGTGTTTGGCCTTTCAAGAAGGACTTCCATCGAGCCCTTTAGCAAGACTAAAATCAGATCTTTGGGGCTTAACATAAGTTGTTTTAATTTGTGTCCTTGATTAAAACCACAAGCTCATCATTATTCTCTTTCAAAACTCAAACCACTTCTTTTGCACGGTTTCTCATTTCTTCATAAACCTACTAAAAGTAGTTACATCTCTTTTTCTTCATCACCTTAAAACTAATACAACCATAAAACCTTCTCTTAGGATTCTTGTACGTCGATGAAGTCATCAATTGAGACTCAAACTCACACCAACATCTATTTCCTCTTCTTCTAAGACTTGATTTGTTTAAATGAAAATTTTGATTCAGTCATTAGTGAAGAAGAAGAGAATTAATGAAAAATGGAATGTAAATTGAGAAAGAAGAAACGAAAAAAATGAAGGAGAAGAGGCACCGAGTTTTAAAGAGCTGAAAACTCACAATAATGTTTTAGGAAATTGCAAGCAGTTTATTTATATTCTTCTAATAATATTATATTATATTAATATAATATGTATCTTTAAAATCACATTAAAATAAATCTAAAATAAATAAAATAATTTGAAACAATTTATTGGTGATTTGACATGTGACACATCAGCAAAATGAGCCTCATGTCATAAAAAATTCTTTTCAGATTTGCTGAGGGACTAAAATCCTAAAAAAAAACATTGTTAAAGAACAAAAATTCCGAATTTTAAAATTAAAAAAAAAAAGAATAATAATATGACTAAAAATGCAATTAAGTCTTTTAAATTTAATACAAACAATAGAACTTTTTAAATCTTGACAAAATGACCAATCTCACCGTCCATTTGCGTGGAACCCATTTAAAAACAAAGAAAAATTATGCATCAACTTAATCAAACACAAAAATTATTATCTCAACAAAGAACACTTAGAAGCCTTCACCACTACACTAACCCTTATATTAAGGGAACATAAACTTATTTGAATGGAGATCAACAGAGTAAGTTTTTTTAACTTTAAATCATAACTTTTGAATTGAATCTAATTTAATGGTTAAATTAGTCTTTTTACTAAATAACCATTAAATTAAATTTAATTCAAAGATTGTAATGTGTAGTAAGTTAAAAAAAATAATACTTTTAAAATAAGTTGATCCCCATCCAACTTATTTTATTTCATTCCAGCTCTATTCAATTATCTTTGCATGTTGTACTTTAATGTTACATTAACAAAACAAACATTTTTTTCGCTAGATATACATATATGCGGATGGATCCAAACCAGGACATTGCATTTCTATACATCTTGCATTTGGACAAGAATCAATGGAAACTACCGATGTTGTACTACTCCGTCTTCGATTTGGCGAGCGCTTTCTTCCTCTGCGCAAGCATGTATGAGTACATGTGAGGACTACCTGCATAGAATTATGAAATTCAATCAGTTAAGGTATAAGATCGTGAGATAAATGTTGGAATAAGGACTTCGGTAGTCAGAAATGTGCTTGGTTCATGCCTGGAACGTAGATTGCCAACGCAAGAATTGCGATGTAAAAGAAATCGAATGAAGAGTTCCATGTATTAGGCATTCTTATGCAATACTTCTCAGATGCCTGAAAAACATACCAAATCAATAACTTGAAATTCCGATATTTCTGATAAAAAAAATATTATCAAATAGTTCAAGTAGAATCGATCATAACATAGAATAACAAGCAACAACTTTTTCCATTGTGCGTTTTTTTATATGAAAAAGTTTAGGCGAGTTGGATCGCCGCAGGCTCATCTGAGTAAAAAAAAGCTTCAAAACTCAAACACGCTTAGAGGTTCTTACATATTTTGTATAAGTTATAAACAACACAAAATCATCAGGTTTAGATCTTTTAATATATTCTAAATCTGTAAGGATAAACTTAATTAAGCACTTATAGCATAAATAGTGCTTATCATATAAGTGCTTTTATAAATAAGTTATTTCTATAATAAAAGGTAAAAAAAGTCAAACTGCTTCGACATAAGCTGTTTGCTGTATACTATCACAGAGAGCTAATGAAAATAAGCCAAAAACAGCTTATGCATATGTCATAAGATGTTCTTGCATAAGCTCTTCTCTCAAGTGTTTATGCTAGTATTTAAACTCAAATAAGCCAATTCATACAAACCCTAAATGCAATTTGAATATTTGATGTTCAAATCATTTACCTTAATGAATGGCAATGCAATGTATATCAAACCAACTTCGCTGCTTATGCCGGTTGGGTACAAAAGTAAGAATGTGCTATATCTGCAAGGCAAACAATTTAGTCAATCTAAGAGCAAAATAAGATTAACTCGATACTATATACTTCACGACGAAATCTTTATACTCAAATTTCATACCTAAGCCACAAAAGCCAGGATGGGGTGAATCCAAAAGCCTCTTTAAATCCGAAGAAAGAATAGCGAATAATCTAAAATTGTAACAATAAAGCAGATGATAAATATTAAACAAAACCAACAAGATTGGAGTACCATACAGATGGTATGAGTGCTGAATACAAGTAAGAAAGCAATATCATGAAAAACTTACCTCAGTGATAGACCAGCTGATTAGTAGGGAGCTCACAAGAACATGAGTTCGAGTCTGTCATTCAAAGATGCGCCAAATTTTCGGTTAACAAAATACGACAAAATCTTTAATTAAATGACCAGGGCCGTCTTTGATGACGTGCTAGACAGGCTACCGCAGACGGTCCAAAATTTGTTACAACTAAACCGTGGCTAAATAGGACATCATCAAATGACTGTCTCAGTTAAACCGTAGTTAAATAAGACCTCTATTTGTTTTGTTAAACCGTAGTTAAATAAGACCTCTATTTGTTTTGTCATGGTTTAACTGCTACAAATCTACACGAGCACCTTCAAAAACTTGAGAAGACTATGTATATGACACTAACCGATATATCAAAGGGTCAAATACATTTCAGTCCTTTATTTCTAAATCTATGAGTTTGGTCCGCAGTTACCAAGTCATCAAAATTCAGCCTTAAAATGCCTAAGTGAAGGAAAGTAATGCACTTTGAAAACTATGGACCAAAATTGTAGATTTAGAAATCGTGGGACTGAAATCATAAATGAGTAAAAATATAGGATCGAAATTGTATTTAAGCCGAAATAACTGAAATAAAGTTAAATCAGTGCTCACCTCAGGAAAGCTCCACAAGATACCCCATACCAGAAACAGCCTTGAACCAATCTGAGGCAATGTTGCTGTTATTGGAGACCTCACAAGCCCTTCATCAATTCAAAACACAAAATCCATAAGAAAAAAAGTAAAAATAAATCAAATAAACCTACATTAAGCATTTAAGTAAGAGATTGATTACTCACCCACTAAACCATGAAGAACCTAGCACACCATGCAACACAAAGCAGTACCCAAAACAACACAAAAATTTAATACACTCAGCTAAAACAAACAAAAGGGTGTCTCGAAAACTGATAAAAATCAAAACTTTTTCAACCAAATACCTCTAATACAGCAGCGGTTTGAGCAAAAAGCAAGGGTTTTTCAGCTGCAGTGTAAACATGTTCATGACCCAATTCCTTCAATGTTTTCAAAGACAGATACAGAACTTGAAGCCTGCATAAATTGAGAAAGGGATCTGAGAAAAATGCAAAATTGGGATAGTGAGTAAACGAGTGAGTGAAAATTCAATATACCATCCAAATAAAACAGTCCAATTGTAAAGAATAAGATAGAGTCTTCTAATAGGTGAAGAAGAAGAAGAACTAGCCATTGAAGGAAGTGATGAAGAGAGATCTAGGAGGAGAAACCCAAGAAGGGTTCAAAATTTGTGAAGATTGAAAGGGAAAAATTTAGAATAATTAATTAATGAATGAATTAAAGGGTGTGGAATTTGAAAATAAATAGTGTTATGATTGAGTTATATAAAGTAAAGGGGTTAATATGTGAGTGAGGAGGTAGCCCAACGACCAACAACTTTATTAAGAGTAGTAATGATAAATACATGTAGACAAGAATGGAAGTGGCATGGTTTGGTTTGGTAGTTGAACTTCTCAACCAAACACGTCATGGGTTAGTAATAACAACATAGGTTTGGACTGGGTTGTCTATTGGATAGCTATACAATATGGTTTGGTTTCGATTTGCCTTTTATCTTATTTAGGCATCACATAATTTTTTTAAAAATGTTTTTAGATTTTAGAGATATACATCTGAACGTACTCAATTTTGAGTTAATGTTAAAATATTTCGGAGATGCATGTTTAAATTTATTTTAGAGATGTATCGCTATAATGAACTAGAGCTTAAATTGCGGCAGAACTCTTCTTCTTCCTCATTTCTGAAAATACTCAAAATTCTCTTCAAACTCTTTCAACTTTTTTCACCACCAAGTCTAAAATCAAACAACCAAGTTCAAAGGATCATCAATCACCATCAGAAACATCATCCAACACTGAAGTAAAGGAAAAAGTTGTAAGTTTTTGATGTTTTGATAAATTTTTGAGTTTTTTTGGATTTTTGTTTAAATGAGTAGAAAATGATGATTTAGGTATCAAATGAGTAGGAAATGCAAGAATGATAGTTTATACATGTTGTAAAACAAACTTGTTTGTTGAAAATCACAGTCAAACCGTTTATTTTTAGGCTTGCATTTCTGAATTGCCTCTATTGATGAACTAAAGAGTAAAAATTATGAAGATGCATCTTCAGAATTTTTCAACGTTTGGTTTCACATTACCCAAAAATGCATCTCCAGAATTTTTCAACGTTTGCCTTCATATTAACCGGAGATGCATCTCTGTAAAATAATAGTATTTTTTTTCTTGTTTGTAATGTTGTTTGCTTGCACTAATTGTCTTGTTTACTTTAACTTATAAGCATTATGGTTGATAGACACGATATGGAGGCACAAGAGGATTGCACAACATGCATCAGTGCGGCGGGAGAAGAGTCAGGTTTCAAAGACTCTTGTTCACTCTGGCATGCAGAGCCATCTACTTCTAGGGCTCATGCTTTTCCATTTTCTTCTTCCTGTAGGAGGCGAGTTTCACCTACTGACACATCAGTTCCTCCATTCTCCCGAAGGCGTCAGATTTCATATATTCAGGCGCCAGAGGTACCTGAGTCACCAATGGTACCGGGGACACCACTGCCACCTCCGACGCATGAACTGTTGAGTCAGTGCCACCTTTTATTATTGATATACTTATGTTGATGAGCTAGTGCCACCTCTTACTACCGATGGTGTTGAGCCAGTGCCACCTCTGGATGGCGGGGCTGCTGAGGATGCTAAGCACGAGACATTTGGAGGAGGCCCTGTAGAGTAGTCACTACTACCTCTGTCCTAGAACATATTGTCAGACATATATAGGATGGAGAGGTAACATTAGTTAAATTCATTCTTTTAATTTACGTTTATTTTAATTTATATGTTTCTAACTTTGATTTATTGTTCTGCAGGACCATGATCCACTAGAGATTATTAACCACGGACGAAAGATTACTAACTTGCCTTAACCGAATGAGGAGTGGTTTCAGGCACTTTGTCCTTATCTGGGATGAAGGACTTGGGCATGACTGATTATATTACGGTTAACCATGGGATGCTTAATGCATTCTTAGAGAGATGACACACTGAGACCTTGTCATTTCATCTTCTGCTTTGTGAGATGTCTATCACACTCGACGGCGTGTCGTGTTTGCTACATCTTCTGATCAATAGGAAACTTCTAGATCATTGGAGGATTACCAAATACGAGACACTTGAGATGCTAGTAGACTATCTGAGAGTTGACTGAGCGGATGTAATGTTAGAGTTGGATAAAACCAAGGGAACTCATGCTAGGTTTGTATTCCTAAAAAAGGTATATACGGATGATCTCCTTAAAGCACATGTGGCTAGAGACGACGAGGAGCAGGTGGAACTGTTAGCTCGTAAATTTGACGCCTGGTTTAAGTTAGTGGAATAAATAAAGGAAAGAGAATTTTTGGGAAGTTATGGCAGATTTCGACAAGACAATTTATTTATGGAAGTCTAGTCGAAGTGACCCCTGTGCCAAAAGGAAGAATTGTTTGGACTTGGAGAAGTTTTCTAAGTTTGAAGGTGTAGTTTGATGAAAAGGACACTGATGGCGTCTTCGATTTAAAGTTTGAATTTAAATAAAAGAGGGAACTTTATTCTTATCCAGTTCCAAGAGAAGACACATGAAGTGTTAGAACACAGATTGGTTCTTAATTATAACTCTATGTTTTGATGATAACTCTTACGAAATTTTGTATTAAGAAATTATATACTCTAAAATTTGTTCAAGTATGTTTGCTGCAGATATTAAAGTGTATATTATTCTGAAAGCAAATTAGATCTGAACATGGAATTATGCAAGGCTCTGAAGCGTCAGAAGCACCTCTTAGAAGAATCTGAACGCTGCCTACAGAAGATTATGAGCGCTGCCTACAGAAGCATCTGAAGCAGAAGCTACAGAAGTATCTGAAGCAAAAGCTACAGAAGCATCTGAAGCATTGAAGACTTTGTATGAATAGTTTCTAGCTTAGTTTATTTCAGAAGACTCTGATAGTACTACGCTGCCAGTACTGAGGATCTGATCCCAAACTCTGCTCTGAATTATTACACGCTGAAAGCACACTTGCTGCAATGCTCTAATTCAACAAACTTTGATGAACATCAAAGACTCTGATCACTCAAGGCTCTGATGTTAACTGCTGAAGTATTAAAAACTTGTTGAAGAAGAATTCAAAGTTATGTCCGTTGGATAGACCAAACGACTCTTTCCTCATTTATGCTAGACACTAGAACACAGGCAAAAAGGATTTATCTGAACGTTCTACTTCTAGGAAAGGTCAAGTGATGTGAAGACAAAAAGGTTCCAGTTACTTTGCAGACACGGTCTTCAAAGCATGCAACGTCTTGGATCCTCAAGCCTATAAAAGCAAGTCTCCATCTCTCTTCTTCAGTTGACGAAATATTGAAAGAATTCAAAGAAAAGCTTTCATACAATTTATTCTCATTGCTGAATTTGTTTCATAGTTCTTAAACTTAAGTGTAAATCACAATTTTGATATAGCTTATTTAGAAGCATTCAAACACTTGTTTAGTTTTACATATTGATTGTAAAAGTTCCTTAAGGAGACCCAATTGTGGTCAGTAGTTCTTTAGAAGACTAAGAACATTTGCTCTTAGTGCTTGCTATTGTAATCAGTTTGATTAATAGTGGATTAAGTCCTTGTTGAGAAAGGCAAATCACTCTTGATAGGGTGGACTGGAGTAGTTGAGTTCAATGAACCAGGATAAAAATCTTTGAGTTCTTTATTTCCATAATATTTTCTATATACATATTCAACCCCCCCTTCTAAGTATTTTCTCACCTCCAGTTGGTATCAGAGCCTGGTTCTGTGTGTGCTACCACTTCACAGTGACAGAAAAGATCCAGTGAGAAAACTTTGATATATATTCTTGGTTGTTATTATGGCTGAAACTTTAACATCTAACAGCAACAACAGATATGAAGAAAGGGATAGAATCAACACAAAACCCCATATGTTTGATGGGGAGAAATTTGACTATTGGAAGGACAGGATAAAGAGTTTCTTCCTTGGTTATGATGCTGATTTATGGGACTTAGTCATTGATGGGTATGTTCATCCCACTGATGGGGATGGCAAGAAAATGGATAGAAAATCTATGACTGAAGCCCAAAAGAAGGAGTTTAGAAATCATCACAAAGCTAGAACAATCTTGTTAAATGCAATATCTCATACTGAGTATGAGAAGATCACCAACAGAGAAACTGCATTTGACTTGTTTGAGTCTTTGAAGATGACACACAAAGGAAACTTACAAGTTAAAGAGACCAAGGCTCTGGCGCTTATACAAAAGTATGAAGCGTTCAAAATGGAAGAATCTGAGTCTATAGAAACAATGTTCTCTAGATTTCAGATCCTAACAGCTGGTCTAAAAGTGCTGGACAAAGGCTACTCAATTGCTGATCATGTGAAGAAGATCATCAGAAGCTTGCCCATCAGATGGAGACCTATGGTCACTACTCTGAAGCTAGCTAAGGATCTGAACAAGATCACATTGGAGGAACTAATCAGCTCACTGAGGAGCCATGAAATTGAACTTGAGGAAGATGAGCCTCAAAAGTAAGGTAAGTCAATTGCCTTAAAATCTAACAAATATGTGAAAGCTTTGCAGGTGTTAGAAGAAAGTTCTGAAGAGTCTTCTTCTGAAGAAGAAGATGAACTGTCATTGCTGTCCAGAAGAATCAACAGACTCTGGAAGCACAAACAGAGGAAGTTCAAGAACTTCAAGAAGCCAGATCATCATAAGGAGTCCTCTGGACCAAAAAGATCTGGAAAGAAGGAAGTTGTTTGCTTTGAATGCAAACAACCTGGCCATTACAAGAATGAATTTCCAAAGCTTCAGAAAGAAAAGCCTAGAAGAAAGCCTGAGCATAAGAAGAAGGTTCTAATGGCAACCTGGGATGATTAAGATGAATCTGGATCTTCATCAGAATCTGAAGATGAATGCGCCAACATGGCTCTGATGGCAGGCGTGGAAGATCAGAATGAAGGATCATCTGGATCTGAATCTGATTCTGAATCTGACTCAGAAGAGGTACTCTCAGATCTTACTAGGGAAGAGCTTATTAAAGTTTTATCAGAAGTCCTGAAAAACTATAACCAGATTAAGCTCAAATGCAAGAAGCTTAAATGCAATCTTGAATCTGAGAATAATCTGTTAAAGTCAGAAGT